AAAATCTTGTTTTGAGATTTTGTACCACTGTTTTTATTTTTTATTCTTTCTTTAAAATAAAAATAACTGATGTCAAAAATAAAAAAAATAAAAAAAAAAGAGCACTTGATAAGCTGGAAGCGCTCAACAAACAGGAGAAGTGATTACAGCTGCACATATAACAGTTTAAAAATTCTTGATCCAGAGCTTGGGAAGAAAAAGAAGTGATGTCTACACCAATATGCAACACCCATTCTGCACATATCCAGGCCAGCCATACCCCAAGTGAGGCCGAGGACAGTGTGAAAAAGTGCTGCTGTCACAGCCACTAAGACGGACCACAATCTCTCATGCAAGAGATTAATTAGGTAAGATCCTTATGCACACAGAACCCTCACCCAGACACATTCTAGCTAAAGACAAAATTAATGCAAATGATAAATACAGCAAAACTCAAAATTAGATTCTAAATATAATCTATCATGCATGATAATTATTTCTTCATTTGAAACAGATCACTGATTATAGGTGCAAGTGTATGAAAGTGTTAGAAGTCCCTGGATCAGCAGAAATAAGGCACATGATTCAAACTCTTAGGAAAATGTGACATTCTTCCATTTATGTATACCACTAATTACTTAAAAAAAAAAAAAAAAGCCTTCTTTAAAAAAATATAGGGGCCCGCCCCTTAGCTCAGTTGTTTAAGTGGCTGCTTCAACAAAGCAGTCAGCCTCAAGTTGCTGTGGTTTGATCTCCACAACTCCAGCCAGCAAAACATGCCCTGAAGGCATTCTGAGCCAGCAAAAAAAAAAAAAAAAAAAATATATATATATATATATATATATATGTGTGTGTGTGTGTGTGTATATATATATATATATAGAGAGAGAGAGAGAGAGAAATAAGACTAAATTTGTGAGGTTTTATATATATATAGTTTCTAATACATATATATATGTAACCTCACAAATTTAATCTTATTTCTAAGCCTTGTGAAAAAAAAAAAAAAACTCAAAGTACATTAGACAAGTTCTCTGCCACTGGGAAGAATTAGGAAGCAACATGTACAAAGACCACAGAATTACCACACTTATGTTACCTCTAATGTCAAGGTTCGGAGGCATCCCCATTTTCTAAGATCCAAAATGCACATGCCCCATAGAGTTAGAGACACAACTTTTTTGAATGAATGTCAAGTAAATCACTTCTTCAAAACCTCAATACTCACAGATAATGGTCAGGATCAAATTTGGCCAGCTCAGCAGTGAGGCGTTTCTGCCTTCGTTCAGCTGCGGGGGTGAAATCTGGATTCTTAACATCAATAACTTCACTCAATTCATCCTAGGCATGCCCAGAAAAAGAAAAAATAATTGCTACATATTTTTGGCATTTAAAACTCAAAACTTGGGGCTGGTGAGATGGCTCAGTGGTCTAAAGCGCCTACTTAGAACAAGCTTAGCAAAGCCCAGGGACCGCGGTTTAATCCCCAGCACCACATGCCAGCCAGCCCGCCCCCTGGTGGGCTGAGCTGGCCACACACACACACACACACACACACACATAAAATATTAAAAATAAATAAAGAAAACTAATTTAAAAAAAAATAAATAAAAAATAAAACTCAAAACTTGGCCAAGAAAAAAATGTCAAAGCACAAGAAGAATCTACTTGGTCAGTAAAGCCTCATACCGCCTGGGACCCTTAGATTCAAAACCAGGAACTGCTTATTAGGCTACTGTACTGTTGAAAGGTCTAAAAAAGGTTCACCATTACTGTTAGCAATTGTCACACAGATGATCTCATTTAATCCTCACAACAAACTTAAGTGAGTAACAAATATTCGGGTTTTAAGTTTTACATAAAAAGCAGAATGGAATGAACCCCCCATAAGCAAGCAGCAACACTTAATTCTTCATCTATTTTTCTCTAAAGATCTGAAAGCTAATGAAGGTAGAGCAGTCTGAAGATCAGACATTTACAACAGACTTTCCCTATAGTTAAGCTCTTCCTAAAGGCAAGTCTCAATTACCATATAAAAAATATATATGCAAAACCATACATTCTACTTAGTAAGAGTTTTGGGGGCAATTTTGATGTACATGGCTTTCCATTCCAAAATTCCAACTTTATTGTAACTGTCTTCACTAAGATATACACATATTAACATGTAGCATGCTTTCCCAGCAGAATCCTAAAGAACAGATGTGTATTAGGAAAACTATCTAGGATACCAAACATAAATAGAGGGCCCTTCATGGTACTTGTTTTGGTCAAGGAAGTTTATATTTGTAATTCCATGAATAAATTATTGGAATCTCATCAAGTTAATTCCAATCTACCATACCCAGTATGACAATAAAGACATTACGGTATATTTGTAGTTACAGGGAGCCAAAGGGTGCCAAGTCCAGCCACAAAGGTGGCTATCCAGTACAAAGGTCTCTACCCCAGGCCTAACCCGGGTTTTATTCATTCATGAAGAAGGGAGTGGCTTGACAATGAATGACTGTGAGCATGGCGGGAAGTAGGTGAACGCCGTGAGCGAGGCCTTCATTTACTTCTGCAATATGCAACTGTGTCTGTGCTTCAGCTCTGATGTGTAACCTTTCAAGCCCCAGGAAGTCTTAGACTCTATCCCAGCCAGTGGGACACTGGCTCTTCTTCCCATACCAACAGAGCTCACACTAGGGAGCAGCAGGTAGGGAGTTTCTTGTGCGGAACACAACTGGTCCAAAGACTACCCCCCGCAACTTGGCCAGACCAATATGCATTGCTTGGCCAGACCAATATGCATTGCTTAAAGCTAATTGAAGGGGCAACAAAAAGTCATAGCCAGCTCTGTACATATTAATACATGGAAATAGGGTTAGACTCAACCAAAATGGAGACAATGGCTCCTCTTTCAAGGAGTCACCCAGGTTCAATGACTACTGCTCCCTGGTACTCCTTGGCTTTCTCCCTGCTTTGGTTTCCTTACTTGTTAGGAGCACTTAAAAAGGGAGGGTAGAAATTTAAATGTTCCACTTCATTATTTCACCTGAACCAGATGTGTGGCCATAAATAAAGTATAATTAATGAGTCTTGGTAGGTAATTTTACATTTCAGAGAATAAAGGGACCCGCATAACCACAGGCATTCAAATCATTAACGACACTGAGACATAGCGACTTTAGCACAGTTCTGCACCCCCCACTCCAGCTGCCTTTCAGTCTCACATCACCCTCCTTTTCGGACTCATGTTCACTTAAGCCACACACGAGACTGCTTTCCATTCTGGAACACACCAATTCAGTCTCCTTCACCGAGCCTCTCCACTTACAGTGCCTGTTCTCAGCATGCAAAACTCAGTCAACGGTCCTGTCCTCAGAATGGCCTTCTCTGAGCACTCTAAGCATAGTAGCATCCATGCTGCTTGTCATGGCTCATCTTTTCCTTCACATGTCACTGTCATTTATTTGTTATTTGCAGAATTCCTGTCTGGCTCCCTGTTACAGGAGGAGTCTGGCCCATCTTCTTTGTACCGTACCTGTAGCCCTGAGCCCAGCATTCAGTACTAAACTGTCAAACAGCAAATAGAGGCCTGCTGGGCTAGGCACGGCTCTGAATGCTGAGGGGCAATCCAGTAATGAACACATATGAGGGTCCTGCACTTACTGCAATGAGAACTGACCAGTGAGAAAGGAGCTCCCCTCCCTCTCCCCTTCCTCTCACTTCTGCTCTCCCAACTCTGGGCCTCCACTCTGGGCCTCCTTGTACAGGGACGCTATACGACTGCTCACAGCAGTACAAACCCTGCCCAGGCTTCCTCTACGTATGTCACTCATGGAGGTCCTGTCCACAATGAGCCCTCAAAATGAACTAAAGCAAAAGAAAAGGCAAAGCTAGTTTGGAATCTATACGCCTAAGGCAACAATCAACCAAAGAGAAAGTAGAGAGGATGAGAATGTTGAACTACAGAAGGAAAGAAAGGATTCCTTTTTTTTTGGCAAAGAACTGCTATGGTCACTAGTCAGCTTAGCTCCTTAAAGATAGGTACTGCCAAGCAAAGATCATGGAGGATTTAAGTCAGGCTTATGTATGTTTAGCCATAGATAAAGCGGAGCTAATTCTGACAGAAAATGAAGGCTGTGCACATCTGGCCAGTGTACATGCTGGAAACAAAGGCCTCTGATCCCAGTGCAGCCAAGGGCAGGAGAGGGCCAACATGGCTGGTACCCCACAGTTGTTGGCAACAGGGGTCCCAGGAGCTTGCTGGGTTGGCACCCGGAGACTCTCGGATTGTGGCTGCTGGCAGCCACCAGAGCCAAAGCCTGTTGTGCAGCCCTGACTTTCAGCAGCCAGGGCAGCTTTCCAAAGGCACCCTGCTGGCTGGCAGTAATTTGAGAAAGGAAAAAGGGGGTGTGTCTACATGTGTACCAACAGAGGGGCTGAAAAGTCCAATTCTGCAAAAAAACATTTCATTGTCTCCAGCATAAAATACAGACATTCACAGACCGGCTTAAAAGGCTGGAGGAGGAGGGGAGAAAGTAAAAAAGGCTATGTCCCCCATTTTTTATTAGTGTATATCTGTTTTTGTTGTTTGGTTGTTTGCAATACCAGGGACTGAACTCGGGACCTTGTGCTTTCCAGGCAGGCACTTATTCTACTGAGCTATCCTCTTGGCCTGATTATTAGAATATATTTGGCATGCAAAATAGTTACGTTTATTTTTGGTAATCAGTATAGATATATAACACACTCTAATCATTTTTGATCCTTTTATTATTCCTCTTTTAGAAGGTCATACTATTGCTTCTTGGCCTTTTGGCTAAGATCAAGTATAGAAGGTCATACTATTCAATGTAGATAAAATACTTGGGTGTTGGAATTATGGATGACTTTTTACTTTCTTTTGAACTTATAAGGAATCTATGTTGCTTTTATCTTTAAAAAAGTTTTCTTTTTATTTATTAATTTGGTACAGGGTCTCACTACACAGCTTGGACTCGCAGTAATCCTCCTATCTCAGCCTTCCCAGCACTGGCACTACAGGGGTACACTACCATGTCTGGTTTCAGTGGCCAACACAGCGCACCCAGGGCATGGCATGTGGTACCAGGATCAAACCCGAGTCCCTGCACTTGCCAGGCAGGCCCTTGGACCACTGAGCTATCTCCCCAGGCCTACTGCTTTTATCTTTCAAAAAATAAAACCATTTTTTTTTTTGGCAGAACCAGGAATTGAATTCAGGCCCTTGCTCTTGCCAGGCAAGTGCTTATTCTATTGAGCTATCTCCATGGCCCCAATAAAACCATTTTTTATTTAAGATGGGGTTAACGCTGTAAAAGCAATGCTAAAATATGAGTAGTGAACAAAACTTAATGTATTTTTTTTTCCACATCTAAAGGCAGAACTAGAGACACTAAACGTGAGAGAAAACAAGAAGCACTATTTGAGAAAATGGACCCCTGCCCCTCACCCCACTGTGGCTGAACCAAGAGCTTCACCCAAGCCCACACCTTTATTTTAACCACCTGGCTTTACTATCACAAACAGAACAGCTGTAAATACAGAAGAACTCTACGAGTAATCATAATAAGGTTGTGATAGTATCTCATAAAATGTATCTACTTTAATACTTTGAAAAGACCACTTTTAATTCTTGGCATCCTGGTTCACTACGATTTCTCAAAGCATGGTTATTTCCTATTTGTCAAGAAAAACACCACATCCCTCAAATTTAATTCCTGTAAGAAAATCAAATGTAAGGACTACACACATCCATCAGTCTGTCTACTGGTCAAATGAGTACATCCCAGGAACCATGCCATGAAGACACGGCACTACTGAGCTGCGGAACACAGCACGCTCACAGTGCCACCTAACCTCGCAGGAGCAAGGTAAGCCTCAGGATTCGGAGTTCAGAAGAGAGGATGACATACGCGGTGTTTTACTTAATCCCCTAAGGATTCTCAGGTAGCAAAAATGCTGAATATTAACACTAAGTACATATTGAAAATAATTATTTTTTTAAAAACTTAACAAGGACTTAGATACAGTTTTGTTACCAGATTAAATGTTTTAAAATTTCCAGTTTTTGGCACTTTTTAGGGGTCCTAGTATTACCTATAAGGGGCTATACGCCTTCATGCCTAGCATTATACTCTACTTACATTACAAAACCTATAACAGTTCACTCTTTTACACAGCTTGCTTTGTCCTAGGTTTAAAGAATATGCAAATTGCTTACAAAAGCAGTGCTCTTTGATTTAAGATATGAAGACTTGGTTTCATTTTTTTCAGCTGGATGATAGGAATTTAGGTATTTGATATATTAAGTCATTCAAAAAGACAAAGAATATTTCACATATACATGCATGGAAACATCAATTTTGTTCTATTAATATGTACTTTTTATGGTTTTAAGTACCAACTTTAAAAAAAAAAAAAAACAGTTTTCTATAGTAATATTCTTCTAAACTCAATCTAAATTTCTTAACACAAGAACCTGAACTGTAAGAGAAGCAGCCTCACCCCTGGCACGGTGCTGCCGCATCCTCTCCACACTGTCAGAACCCCCTCAAGTGCCATCTTTCCCAAGAAGCAGCAGGAACGCAGGGGTCAAGCTCCCTGGCCTCGTCAAGAAGCGCTGTTAACCTGAGTTTACAACCTTTACTCAGCCTGAGGCGCATTTACCACAGTCTCAATTCCTCTCCAGCGCTGGACTGGCAAGCCCCAAACAGATCGGCACATCTCAGTTCCTGGCTAAACAGCCGAGATCTTCTCACTGTAGCTCCCGCTGCAGGCGAAACTCACTGTTCTCACTACCTCAGAGCTCACCAGAGACCGCAAGCAGGCAGAGGGAACACAGACAGGAGACATTCCAGCAGGAAGACACCAAGCTTGTAGAAGGAGACATTTCTCCAGCATTATTCATTATTCATCTCTCCTAAGGCCCAAATTTTCCCATTACAAATTGTGAGAACATTCTGTTTTTGAAGGATAGAGATCTTTACAGTATTCTATACTTCACTATTTTCCCATGCAGTATCATCTTAAATTATCAAAACAGACTTATAAAGTTGGTAAGCAAATTCATCTCCACATTATAAAAGATATACTTTATAATTAACTTTGTGTCTCAAATCTAAACAGAGGCAGAAATAGAACCAGAACCTATATCCTTGGCCTTTCCTTGACAGATCTGAATACAAACTATTCAGAATTTTAACTCATTTACTGGTACAGTTCTGTGTATCTTTTTTTTCATGTGTTTAGTACAGTGTCTTCAGGGTCTCACTACACAGATCAGACTCATAGTGATCCTTCCTGTTTTTCAGCCTCCCAAGTGCTAGGATTACAGGCGCTAGCCACCACACCCAGTCTCATTTACAGTCTCAGTGTGCCTCAGTGGTGGGGCCAGCATGGCAGGCCAGGGCAGTGTATCGATTATATAATATCAATGTATTTTTCTGATAAACCATATCTCATTTACATAGTACTATAATTTTCACTGAGTGCTCTGTAGAGTACAAAAGCAAAGTCATCAAGCTGGAGTTTCCTTCGACCATTTCTTTGTTCTGAATATTATAATGCACATAATTTATACACTTCCTCACCAACTTAGTTGCAGGAATAGAACTTGGTTACCAAACAATGAATGTCTGTACATCTTACAACAGCTGGAATATCTCTAAAAAATCTAGCATCCAAAAACTGAAGTTTTTTTGAGCAGCATTCAAATGAGACCTTCATTTGACCTTAAGAATAACAAGACCGACTAACTGCCAAGAACTCAACAATTTGATAAAATACAATTTCAACGTCACTGGAAATTCCTGCGTCTTTATAATTAAAGCCGAAGAGGTAAGCACATGAGCTCCACTTTTCAGAAGCATAAATCATAAAGCTTTCAGAAAGCATAGGAGAGAGGGTTTTGCTTTGTGCTTTGGTGACTTCACCTCTGGAGCACTGACGGAAGGCGCGGCAGACAGCAGCAGAGCACCTCTAACCTGGATCAGTGAGGACAGCTAGCAAAACAAGGAATGAGCATCGAGGGCCGAATACGAGCAAGGAGCTGAACTGCAGGCTCTGAACTATCACCTGCTGTAACTTCTATGAATAACCACCCAGTATAAGCAAAATTAAACCTAAAATATCCACGTTCTTTCAGAAAGACAACATACCTGTAATCGCTGAAACACTCCTGCCCGCAAGTTTCCGAAGCCGTAGGGGCACTGTGGATTCAAAGCACTTTCGGTCGCTTCCTCATAAGGAGTCTGGTCAATTTCCCAGTCAAGCTCTTCATCGTCATCTTCTACTACTTCCTCAGAAACTTCAGAAGCACCTAAATGAGTTCAATATTTTCTGTCGTAAAAAAGCACTGAATTTCCTAGGCACACCTGGGGAAAAACAAGTAAGGAAGAAGGCTGCCCAGGGGCGCCAGACACACTGAGGGTAGGCACGGCTCCACTGCTTATGACAGCCCACAAACGGAGCAGCGCAAACGTTCACTGGTAGCAGGGAACACAACCGACCGCGGGGCATTCCTATAGTAGAACATGACGCAGTAGAGGAACAAGATTGGCTTCTGCTGCAACACTGATGAACCTCACAAAACTCTGGTGAGTGAAAAAAGCCAGACAAAAAAGAATGTGGACAAATGAGACGGTGGTGGCGATCTCAAAGCGAGAGGGCAGACTAACTAAGAAAAGACACAGGTGGGATTTCCAGAGTTTTGGACATAAAGGTCCTGGTTGACCTAACTGATACGTTATTAACTGTTTGAATTGGACTTTTCTGATCTAAGTGTAAAAGGATAATACTATGCAAAGAGTTTTAATTGGCCAAAAAATGTGGATGGTTCACTAGGGCCATTTATGTCTATTAACTATAACTTAATTACATATAAAATATATATGTATATATATATAATACAATTTAATTATAATGAGCTGCTTCACAGGACCATCATATCTTTTTTCAGAGTCCTATTCACCAAGTCTCTTTCCTCTAGAAACATACACTATCCCAGGTAATTTTAGTTTTATTTCCTCTCAACCATAATAAATGTACCTATTTCTTCCACAAGTGGCTTAGCCGTCCTGGATTTTCTTGGTGCCAGAAGAGCAGTTAACATGTTCAGCCCTTCAAAATGTTGGCCAGGAGTTTCTTTGGGCAGTCGAATGGTAAAAAGTCCTAAAAGACAAATTTCTTTTATGCTTAGATACATCAAAATACTTAAAAACTTCACAATTATAGCTAAGAAATATATCTTCGTACTATATAAATCTGTATCAGACAGCTCTGAAACTACGCCCTTATTACAGGTGAGGCAGATTTAAATCATGATAGAAAAAGGCTCAAACAGGGCTTTCAGAACTGGTAATTTCTATAAGAAACTAACCTACTCAAGCTATAGAATGATTTAGTTTTACCGAGTATAACCTTAACCTACTTATACATTAAAATACAAGTTAAAACTTAACACTTACTGGCCTGAAAAGATTAAGAACTTAGAATTGGCCAATAGTAACTTTATAAAATACATTTCTGAACTGGGGGAAAAATCAGGATATCAAATCCAACAGAACATAGCAATAGTTTAAACATATACAAAATATCGAATAACGTAATTGTGGCTTTCTAGAGTTTCTTTGATGTCTCAAGGGACAATCTCCCCACAGTCTGTATAAGTGCCCTGCAATTCTATCTACACACATCTCCTCTTCTCACACTGAGTTTATCAGCCTTATTCAAATTCCTACATGATTATAGTATTTACCGCTCATATACACTTTTTTTTTAATTTTTTTTTTTTTATTTTTTTGAGAGAGAGAGAGAGTAGTGTGTGTGTGTGTGGCCAGCTCAGCCCACCAGGGGGCGGGGCCGGCCGGCATGTGGTGCTGGGGGATCAAACCGCGGCCCCCGATGCCCTGCCAAGCCTGCCCCAAGCAGGTGCCCCAGACCACTGAGCCATCTCTCCAGCCCCTCATATACACTTTAAATGCAATCTCTGATGCACTGAACTGCATCCCAACATATCAAATGTAACTCAACCCAAATACTTACACAGGCACAACTTCCCCAAACTCCCAGTCAAAATTTAGTAATTTTATTTCAATACATAACATATTTGTAATTAAAAGCTTTATGTACTAGCCAGGCTGGTGGTCTCATTATACTTCATTATCATATCAATTCTGCATTATGAGTGAAAACGGTATCACCAAACTCTGTCATCCCATTCTGTATCCTCATCCTAGCTCATTAGGGTCAATAAATGGCCACTGAATAAATTACACATGAGTACACAAGGCACTTTTATCCCAGATCTACTGACACAGGAAAAGGCAGTGGATTCTAGAAATGGAAAAGCTCTGTAGCTAGTTAAAATGAGGGACTTATTAATCATAAGAAGAAAACTTAATTAGCCTTTAATGTTAACATAGATCTACCTTAAAATTCAAGTTTGAAAACTGTACAGGATTCCTTTCAAAAGTTTATAATTCATATATACTTTCTACAATCAATGACCTTACATGTTCTAATTTTTACTTTCGAACGCCTACAGAATGTAGGAGAAGTATGCCTAAAAAATGGAAGCAAAGTTTAATTCAAACTTACTTTGAAGGACATTGTGAAACACATCAAAGAACTGAGGAAATTCTAACTGTCCAAAAAGTCATGAATTATAGGCACAGGCCCTGGACATAACAAAAAAAAAGTCAGGGCTGGGGAGAGAGCTCAGTGGTCTAAGCGCCTGTCTGGCAACCCAGTACCACATGCCATGATGGCCTTGTGCTGTGCCGGTCACTGAAACCAGGTGTGATGGCACACGCCTGTAATCCCAGTGCTGGGGAGGCTGAGACAGGAGAATCACTACCAGTCTGAACTGAGTAGTGAAACCCTGTAACAAATTTTAAAAAAACAAGTCAGAGAGCATGCTGCAATAGCAAGACATAAAGGTCCTTGAAAATCTTACATAGATCTTGAAAAACTTACATAGATCCTCTAACAGGAACAATGCAAAGACTATCAAAAACTCTAAAGATGGTACCTTTGTCTGCATCATAGGACCCCTGCTCATTTCCATTTTCTATAATTCTTCCAGGAAGGGTTAACCTGAAAATTTAACAAGGCTTCATGAAATACTGACATTACAAAACAGAAATAGGCACTAATAACAGTTTAGATTTACCCACTAAAATCTATCTCTCACTCTAAAAGCAATTCCTTAAGAATAGCACATCATTTGCAGGAAAATGGATAGAGCTGCGGGTCATCATGGTAAGCAAAATAAGCGAGACTCAAAAACAAACAGCATGGGTTTTCCCTCATGGAAGGGGAGGCATACATGAAAGAAGAAGGGAGACTTAGACAAGAGAAGGGGCATCAAGGGAAGGGGAGGCAAGGCAGGATATAATGGGGAGAGGACATGATAAAAGTCTGCTATACGCATGCACAAAAATGTTCCAATGAAACCCATTCTGTATAACTAATATGTGCTAATTGCGATGGTTGATTGTGTCAACTCGAGTAACAGAAGCTCCACTAAACTGGCTTAGCAGCTCCACACGCTAGGGTGTGGAAAACTCACTTGTCACCCAGATGGCATACAGGAGAAATGAAAGAAGACAGATCTGCTTCGGGATCTGTTTCTGTTTCTCTGGATGATGTCCAGCTTTCACCTTCCCCTTGGACATCATCTCCTGGCTCCCACAGCAGACTTTTCCAGCATACACTCCGCAGCCTTCCCTCTCAGACCCATCACCCTCCCGACACGGACTCACACAGGACACTGCAGTGAGCTCCAGACCTTCAACTGAAACTTTCGGCCTCCAGTGTGCAGACAGAGCCTGGGCTCTCCTCCACATTTGTCTCTGGGTGGCCACTTGTAAATTCTTATATAACTGTATATCTTGTGTTATATCTAGTTCTCTAGTAAATACTAATACAGTAATAGCAAGTTTCGAGGATAAAAAAGGAAATTCTAGAGCATTTCTTTCCAATTTTATCAAAGAAATTATAAGGGCCAGCCAAATAGCTCCAGGCACAGGGGCTGGGGGTTCGATCCCTGGGCCTGCCATGCTGGCCCTGCCCCCAGGTCACACTGGGACAGCAATTGAGACGGGGCATGGTGACACAGACCTATAATCCCAGCTCTTGGGAGGCTGTAAAGAGGCAGATTACTATGAGTCCATTTTAGTAGTGAGACCCTGAACACCCTGTAGACCCTTCCCTAAAAAAATACAAATAAATAAATAAAACAAAGAAATGATACCTTTCCCAACTAAGTGAAAACTAAAGATGACTTATCCTTCTTATTGAGTACCCCCCAGTCACCAATAAAGCAGAGGATGAAGAAAAGCCATTGTAAATACTAGTTATCGCTACTGTTATAGTACTTCCCCTTTTTAATGAATAGGAGAATTATTTATACACCAAGTTTTTCCAAGCAGGTGCTCAATAAAAGTAGACTAACTGGTTTCTAAAAAAAGTTAGAAAATGAAAAACAATAAACAAAGCCAACTGCTTTTATAAGGCAAATTACTACTTTTTTTAAAAAAAAAAAAGCTGAAAGCAAAAAAAAAAAAAAGCTGAAAGCAAGAGTTTGTAATCAAATCACACTATTACTGTATTCATATCAAAGGAAAAGAACCCATTTCCCTGCTGTCACATGTACCCTGCTTCAGTAAGTCTTGCACTGAGGCTCCAAAAGAATTTTTCCAAAACAGCAATCTGACTTCCACACTTCTTTGTGAAAAATCGTCTCAGCCACCTGACATTAACAAAATAAACTCATCGGTATGGCATATCAGATCCATTTCATACCATTCCAGACTTAAAGCCCGAACGTCTTTTCCTCCCATGCCCTACCTCCCTGGTTTCCACTGAATACCGTTAAAACAAAAGACCTAGCAAATTCCTAAAGACCCAGGTCTTCTCCTTTTCACAACCAAGTGCCCTTCTAAGCCCAGAATAGTTTATGGATAAATTAGTTTGTTATAATAGCTATAAACACTAACTTTAGTGTCACAATCTATATTGCCTTAACATTGCCATTTATTAGCACTCTAACTTCCTTTAGGCAAGTTAATTAACATTAGGAATCACACAATAGGTGCTGGAGAGATAGCTCAGTGGTTTAAGTGACTGCCTGGCAAGCTCAAGAACCCAAGTTCGATCCTCGGTACCGCATGCTGTGCAGATCACTAAACCTGGGCATGGTGACACATGCCTATAATCCCAGTGCTGGGGAAGCTGAGACAGGAGGATCAATATGAGTCTGAGCCACATAGTGAGACCCTGTACCAAATAAAAAAATAAAGGAATATCACAATAACAGGACCTATCAGACTGTTACTATGAGAATAAAAGAATGCAGGCTTACTAACAGAATAAGCAAGCAGTCAGAAAATGTGAGCTACTTACTTCTCCTAAATTCTTTGTAGGTATAGAGCTAAATTATTCCTGTGTAAGAGTAAAGCATAGCTGGGCATGGTGGTGCACACCACAACCCAAGCACTCTGAAAGGCAGTTCAAGTCCAGCCTGGGCAACTCAGTAACTTAGTGAGACTGAGACCCTGTCTGGGAGGGGAAAAAATGGCACTGGCACTCTCAGTGTGAAGGCCCTGGGTTCAATCCCCAAGAAAGAAACTAAAACAAAGCAGAACAGAGGAGAAAAAAGGAAATGAGGGGAAAAAAAAAAATCAACCAGTAACTCAATCATGTTTATTGATCTGTTTTTTGAGACAGATTTTCAACTCAAGAAGTGGGTCCAGATTTTATTTGTCTTTGGGACACAGTAGTAAATTTTATTTTCAAAGACTGCTATCTCAAAGCTGGGTATGGCAGCATATACATGTAATCTCAACATTCAGGAAGCTGAGGCAGGAGGATCACTACAAGTTAGAAGCCATCCTGGGCTATATGGATAGATCAGGGGCAGTAAGAACTATGCAGCAAGATCCTGTCTCAAAACAAACCAAATAAAAAGACTGCTATCTCATATTGCTAATGGCAACCACAGAGTCTGAATCCCCTCCCCTTAAAATTCAGCCAGCTTCTGGGGCTGTCTCAACCAATGCCATGAAACAGAAATTAAATTATGTGCTTTCTGTAGTTAGGTCATAAAAGGTGAAATGGATTCTGCCTTGCTTTTGAAAATGCCAGCCACTCCATTGTTAATCTAACTTTGCCTAAAGAAACACAAACAGACCAAGTTAGAAAACTACACGAGCCAGGCACACATCTGGAGTTCCACCTACTTGAGAATCAGAGGCAGGAAGATCACTTGAACCCACAAGCTCAAGATCAGCCTGGGAGTAATAGTAAGACCATCCCTGTTTTTTGGGGTTTTTTTGTTGGTTTTTAAAAAGCCCACAAAGGTAGGCCCTCAGACCACATGAAGATGTCCAGTCAGCTACTTCAGCCCTTATTTTACATCATTTCATCATAGTGGGGTTAGAATCTTTCAGCCACAAGAACCTTGTAATTGCCTGTGTCAGCGTGTTTAGGGGGTCCAAGGGAGAATTCCACAGATGAGCTCCCGAGGTTAAAGAACCTACAGGCGCAAAACATCGGCAACAACACCAGGCAGCATGGGGCAAAGCTTAGAGAGCCTAAGAGCAAAAGCCTTCTGTGTCTTTATTGTATAATTCTTATACAGGTTGTTATCTCATACTTACATTTTTGTTTAGTGCTGTAACCAGCACAAGCATGTATACCTGTGCTAAGTCATTGCTCTATAACTATATCCCACTGTGCACCTGCACTAGACAAGCAGGACCACATCCTCAGGTGTCTGTAGATGCCCCTGAGCTCACAGCCTGCTCTTACCAAATTCCTCGTCCACAGAAGCCAGGGCATATAACAAAATCGCTGGTGCTGTTTTACATCAAGTTTGATTGGTTATGCAGCAACAGATAACATACCAGGAACCCACAGTAAATAATAGGGGAACAGTCTGACCTTATTCACCATTTCAGTGATTTTAGTTACCTGCTCAAGGCCCAAAAAATAGACAAGATACACTTCTGAAAGAAAAGAAGCTCACATTCCTAGAACTTTTAGCACAGTGCATTGTTTTAACTGTTCTACTTTATTATTATTAAATTGTTATTGTGTCTAATTTATAAACAAAAATTCAGCTTAGATATGCAAGAACAAAAAAAAAAATCCTGCATATTCTGGGCTCAGTACTACCTGAGGTTTCAGGCATCCATTTGCAGTATTGGAAAACCTATAGCCAGTGTGCTGCAGCAGGCTGTTTCTTTTTTTCTTTTTTCTTTTTTCTTTTTTTTTTTTTTTT